AAAACAATAGAAAAAAACACACATCAACACATAAACAAAAAGGCACAAACCAATGCAGAACAACACAACATATATTGCACATTACCCATAATGCATGGTTTGAGTAAGCATGAGAGATAAAGTAACAATATAAAAAGCATACAGGGACACCATATTGCACACAGCCTTATGAAACTTTATTCAGAAATTTGATTGAGGTGGGAAGAACAGTTTTGCGGTATGTAGATGAATATATAAAAATAAACTAACCAGATTTGTTTCCGATTATGATCCTTGTTGTGACGTTGCCTAAGCTGTACATTTCTTGGGAGTAATGCGTCCGTCCTTCACCTCCACTCTTCGCTCTACGCTTCCACAGAAGTAGGCGCCTTCGTCTGAAACAGTGGCGTTGAGGATCAGCAGGTCGTAGGATCCAGAGGAAACATTTCTCACAAATTGAAAACGAGGGAAGATGGTCAGGACATCGACCGCTTCGATCAATACGCCACGTTTGGGTTTCAGGACGAGCGGAGGCTGGTTCTCATGAGAGCAGTTCCTGTACCACACGATGTGAACTCCAGTCGACGTCTGGCAGTCACAGTGAAGCGTGATGTCGTCTCCTTCCCTTACTGTCACCTCCAGCGCTGGTCCGCCGGACACAACTGCAATGCAAACACAATCATCAGAGCAGTTTGAAAAGTGGCAAAACGATTACACGATGCGGTTAAGATCAAGAATTACCTAAGAGAACGAGCAGGAGGATGTGCAGCACGTCCATGAGTGACGATAACCAAAGAGGTAAAAGGAAGTGAAACTAACGCACGGATATGACCCATAAAACAATGAACCATCAAAGGAAAGTTGCCTCTTTTTCTTCACTTCACTGTGGCTGTTGTGACACTTTTTGTGCCAGTTCATCATCATCTCTTTACTCCTGGTTCCTGAGTCCTGGTCTCATCGTCATCTCCCATATATTGATCCAGGAAATCTGACGCTGTCCTGAAGAAACAGCTCCTGTAACACACCCAGATTGATGATCTATTTAATGTACAGTCAGAAACAGAGAGATCACAAGAATGAAGAACAAATAAGAATAACAAGCAGCATGTTGTGATGACAACTGCAAGATCGAACAAGAGTAAAAAAAAAAAAAAGCTGACCTTCCTCAGAATTTCTATTTCAGCTCTGCGCACGGGAAAATAAATGTGTTGGTTGGCAATTCAGGTACGACATTTATCCCTGTGGGTGATTCACATGAGACAAAGGAGAAGCTAAGGTTAAGCTCAGAGCAGCATTGCTTAGTGAGATAAAAAAAAAAAAAAAAAGAGTCCTTTGTGCAACAGTGATTTTCACTGTTTGAAATACTTCAGCAACTTTCCATTTTTAAAAGATGCAATAAGGTCAATTCACTTTTTGTCTCTTTTTGTCATCACAATGGATGAAGACGAGTCTTTAAGAGTTACATAATGACACCGTAAAGGAAGATAAGGATGCACAGTAGAGGGGGAGAATACAGATTTCTCTTGAGAGGAATCTTAAAGCTTGTATTTTCAACGGGGAAAAAAAATGACAGATCACATTCAAGACAAAATGTTTCACTTTATACAATCTAAAAGAGAGAAGATGCAAGATGCAAAAATAGTAGAAATGTTCTTTATTTTAAATTCATTGTGGATTTGAATTGAATTTAGTAGGATCTCCTGTTGAAAAAAACTTCAATTAGCATTTTTTTAAAAACATGTTTTTGATTAAAAAAAAAAAAGGCACACGTAGATTAAAAAAGAAAGTGAATTAAAAGGTCAGAGACCCGAACATCAGTCACATATCAGTTCAAACATGGAAATGAAAAGACAACGGTTAAGAAAAAGCCACGTGTTTACCTGATGTGTGTTGTGCTGGGAAACCACCAACTTTTAGATGGTAAAAAAAAAAACAAGAATACTTCTCTGCTCGCCACAAAAACACAAACACATGTTCTCTGAAACAAAAGGTTTGATGTGTGTGAAGGAGAAAAACAAGAAACGATTGGAGTCTTCATGGTCTGGGTAAGCTCATTGGGGTTTACACTGTTACCGTTTACTCACTTTATCAATCAATCACTTTATAAAGACCTTACTCATTGCTGTTTTTTATTGTGTTTTTCAATTTTAACATACACCACAAATTCACAAATTATATGCAAATCTCAAAGCAAGAAAAAAAACAGACAACCAAACATGAAAACAAAACAAACGAGAAAAAAAAAAAATATATATATATGTATAACAGAAAATAAATAGAAAGAAAAAGGAATTCCCTTACATCTTGGCAATACTTATTAGAAATTTACTCATGGCTATGTTACGTTAAGATCATCCTGTCAGACGTAACATCACGGACTCAGTCGGTCGTTCGGTGGCTGCAGTTTGACATTAAAACGCAAATTCTTTGATAAGATTATCAGTCTTTGTTGTTACCCTTCATCAGCCCATAAACTAATTGCAAGAAGTATTTGAAGAATTCCAAAAATTACGTTTTTAACTTTAAGTCTCCATGCGCTGATGGGGCCCTGAGACCACATCTAGGAAGTCATAAGCACGCAGCCCATCCGCTCTGAACCATCACTGCATGCCTTTAAAGACAAGAAATGTCGCTCAGATATGGACTTTTCACTTCTCACAAAACATGTACTTTTGTTAACATTTTACAGAGGGTATATTTCTACACTGATTGGGGGTGTGGTTGGTAGAGTCGGTCGTCTCTCAACTGGAAGGTTGGAGGTTCGATCCCCAGCTCCTGCAGTCACATGCCTAATGTTTCCTTGGGCAAGACACTTAACCCACAATTTCTCCAGCTTCTGCATCAGCTATGTGAATGTGTATGAATGGGATTCATACTGATGGAGCATATCAGTCCTGTCTTAACGTCCCTCCACTGGCTCCCAATACGGTTCAGAATCGATTATAAGATTGCTTTGTTTGTTTTTAAAGCCCTGAATGGCCTGGCCCCCCTATACATCACTGACCTCCTCAGGTCGTACACCTCATCTAGGCCCCTGAGATCGTCAGCTATGGGCCCGCTGGCTGTCCCCCACTCACGACTCAAGCTAAAAGGAGATCGTGCATTTTCAGTTAAAACCCCAAAACTGTGAAACAGTCTTCCTCTTCCCATCAGGTCTGCATCCTCTACGGACTCTTTTTAGTCCCTTCTAAAGACATTTTTCTATATTTTAGCATTGGAGTCCTCTGGCCCTGAATAGATGGTTCTTTCAGATTCCAGTCATTGCTTTCATTATCTCTCCTATTTATTCGATGGTATTTTATTTTGTGTTTTTTGTACATGTTGTAAATCCCCTGTAAACTGATTCTTTGATGCATTGTACAGCACTTTGGTAAGCTGCTGCTGTTTTTAAATGTGCTTTATAAATCAATGTGACTTGACTTGACTTGACTTGATAGGGAGTTTACATAGAAACCTCTGTCATCAGTGTGTGAATGTGTATGAATGTGATTAGTCAAAAACTTACTTTAGAAACAAAGTTCAAAACTTGAAATACAGAGCCACAAGGGAATCACTGGAAAGACAACAAACGACAACAAGGCTCTGACAAACACACCGACATAACTACACTCAACTTAAAACGCCGACAAACAACAATGAACTGACAACATGAGGGAAGGAACACTGAGACTAAATAGAAACATGGGGTAATCAAACACAGGAGAGACTAACAAGGCACAGGCAATCACACTGGAGGGAAACACAGAGGCAGGAATAAAATACAAGAAACACTGAGGACAACTATAAAATAAATCAGGAAACACTGAAGACAGAGAACTCAAGAATGTAACAAAACACACTAGAACATAGAGAGACATGAGGATGAGAAATGACAAAATAAAACAGGAAACACTGAAGACAAAAATAGGAACCCATCAACACTAGGAAACATTAACACACAAGGGAAACAAGCAACACTAGGAAATAAAAGGAAACTCAGAAAATGTACAAAATACAAAACCAAATCAGTATTCACTTTGATCGTTGTTCTCAAACTTTTCTGTCAGGCTTCTCTTTGGAAGAGGAAAACATTTTTGGCCCCACCAGTAATAAACAGTGACTAAAAGGGCTTAGTTTCACTTGTCATATTGGTTAATGCTATTCAATATTGTTCTGCACTATTTTAACCCTGCAGAATGGTCCACATGTTATTGTGTTACATGACTCAGTGTTGTTAATGTGCAAGAATGGCCAACTACAAGAACATTTAAACACAATGTGATTTATTTTTTTCTGTGACACACTTTGAAAAGCTGCATTATGGGGTTTGCTTCCATGATAACTTCATAAATATTATGTAACTGATTCAATCAGTTCAATTAGGTGTGAGATAGAGTGAGTTTCATTTAGAAACAGGTTCTATTCACCAAAGATTTTCAACAATATCAGAATCAGCTTTATTGGCCAGGTAGGCTTACACACACAAGGAATTTTACTTCCATGAACTGTGCTCTCTAAGTACAAAAGTACAGCATTAAATATCAACAATAAACACAAAATAAGCAAAGACTAATATGTACAAGACTGAATAAGATAACAGTGCAAAAGATGCTGAAGTAAACATGATAATAAAATAATTTAATTATGTGACAGGTGGGTTCATTTAATAAATCAATTTGAAGGTAAAAGAAAGCATGCTAAGAATTATTTCATTAAAGCACAGTTTCAAGATGAACAAGAGTCAAGATTAACTTTATTGTCTCATAAAGTCAGAAATTTGTCTCGGGCTCTTCACCCGTGCTGCAGCCATAAAAAAGACAACAATCAACATCATTCACATCAAACATAAAACCATAATCATTATTAAGTCAATGAAAAAAAAAAAATAACATCAGGTTCTTAAAATACCAGTGCAAACACGTTAAGACAAATGATATTCCAGTTAGCATGCTAACACAACAATGCACCGCAAGTTGTTTTGGTTTCATGCTGGTGCTCAAGGGCGACATCTGCTGGATCAAAAAATCGCATAAAAAGCCTTTAACGTATTTCATATATTTTTATTTTGTTGAGTGCTTTTCCTCAAATATTTCCAACAGTTGTCAAAGCCAGAGAAATCGATCCGCTCTATCCGCTGTTCTGTCTCTCTAATAAAGGCACAAAAACAAATCTTTCCCGTTGACTTAATTTTTCAACAGCGGAGGTTGCTGGGTGATAATGACAGGATGTGGAACACATTTTGCCGCAGAGTTACAATACTCTAATCTAAGTTTAGAAGTTTGAATTGCTTTCTGTGCCAGTCGCTTCTTAGACTGATCCCTGTGAATCAAATGAGCATGCTCAGCTCTTTTACCCTTATATCTGAACAAACAACAGTATTGTACATTTTTTTTATCAAAGTGTAAAGTACTGTTTCCATGTTCCTCTTTAAATTCTAGAAGTATTGATGATAGAATAGGTGCTGACGTCTGAACTCTGGGTTTTCTTCTTTGGTCTCTGTGATGTCTGACAGATATTCAGAGCAGAGTAACACACAACTTCATCCTAAGAACGGACATCAATAAATATTAAACATGAACAAAACATATTACAAATATTACAATAAAAAAAACCTACAGTTGTCAAGTATAATATCTGTATGAAAAGTGAAACAAGCTCAGACTTTAAATTACCTCATGCCCTCTTGTTTGGCCTCGGCTGTCAGGTCTTACCTCATCAGTTTTGGGTTTAAAAGCTGCAGACATGAATAAAGGCCTATCAGACAATATACACCATAACAACCAGCATTTTTTCAAAAGAAGCACTGGATAAACATTTAGCTCAAAAAGAGAACTGAGAAATGAAATGATGTGAGGAAGAAAAAGGACTGAGTTGAAAAGGGTACCTGTTTTCCGACAGAGGTGATAAACCAGAGCAGATGATAATAAAGAGGAGACGACAGCAAACGCTGGGCACAGAGAGAAGAGCAGCATCCAGCACACACTGCAGGGAGGCGATGGTGGTGGACGCCTGCTGTACGCCTCACTGGAGTCTGTACAGAACACAAAGTTGTGCCATTTAACTCTGCAAGTGTGTCGCTTTGATGTAAGAAGAGGCACATTTTCCTTTTTGCACGACGGCCAATGATCCGACTGAATACGTTCACCAGTGTAAAGGAGTCCATTCAGAACAGAATACTTACTGAATACAACCCTCGTTGTCATGTTGCCGTGTTTGTAAACCGTCTCTTTAGTGATTTTCTTCTTGTCCAGCACCTTGACCTGCTCAATTCCACAGTAGTAGAGGCCCAGATCAGAATCAGTGATATTCACAATCAGCAGGTCGTAGGATGTAGACGACTGGTTGTTCACAAAGTGGAAGCGAGGGAGAGGATTCAGAATAACCGACTCATCAGGGCTGAATTTCATTGCTTCAAGCATTAGTTTTAGGACAAGCGAAGGCTGGTTCTCATGAGAACAGTTTCTGTACCACACGATAAATTCCCCGGTGGACTTCTTGCAGTCACAGTAGAGAGTGATGTTGTCTCCTGGGCTGACCTTCACCTCTGAGACCGATCCCGAAATACAACTGAGCCATCCAACTCCTTGAATACAAACAAATCAACGAAGCAGATTGAAGAGTTTCTGAAGTAACAATATCTTGTAAGACACAGAGACAAAACTGTCTTTATAGAAATGTCATGCTTGATAACATAAGTAAAAAAACATACCCTGGAGAAGGACAAGAAAAACATGCAGACCCTCCATGTGTGACGATGACCTGGTGTTGAAAGGCAAAGAAACATGTTTAAGAGCGGATGTCAGACCCCGCGCAGAGTTTTCCATTAAAGGAAATGTAAGACGTGATTGGGTGGTTACTCTAAATGGAACAATTTCTGTTGTGGTTGCCTTTTTGCATTGGTGTGATGCAAAGTGACAGTTGAAGTGAAGACATTAACCTAATTTTCATAAGAGCTTTTTGATCTAATTACTGAAAGGAAAGAAGAAAATGTGGCTGGAGAAGTGTGTGGTTTAAATCAGGTATTTTATTTATTTATTTAGTTTTTCTTTATCATTTTAAATTAATTTGTATTGTGTTTGTTTATCTTTGTCTTCTGTAAAGCACATTGAGTTTACGTTTGTATGAAATGTTCTATACAAATGAAATTGAATTGAAAAAATTCAGTTCAGATGTTTTTGCATGCGTAAAAGCACTACTACTTGTTACTCCAATTAATCAGATAAAGTTAATACAGTAAGAGAATAAGAAAGGCCCAATGTTGCTAAATTACGACAAGCTAAAAACTCCTTAAAAGTTCAGTCCTTGCATCAAAGGCCTCCTACACCAACATCTGGACGGTAAAAAAAAAAAGGTGCGCTCAATATTTCTAGATTCGGGTTTTACGGTTAAATACTGTATAACTCCACCAGATGTACTGTAAGTAGTTGTGTTTTAAACAGACGCCTGCACCTCTCTGCTTACATATCACTCATTGATGTGAAATGATTTGATGTGTTCCACCGTGTGGTTGAGCTTCAACACCTTTTTTGTCAGGCCCTTAATCTGCATTTTCAATCTGTCTGCAAGATAAGATCTGTAGTTGTACAAGGGGCTGTTTTTCACTGTGGGTTTCCTGTGAAGCTCACTGATCACACAGAAAACAAGATGGTCGATGGTCGATGATCTTTAATGTCAGCTCTTAAATGTCTCTGAACAAGTGTTGTGGGGGAATTCTAAAGGCCTGCATGTAAGATAGTGAAACATAATGAAGCCTTAAAACGAGCTGGGTTAATACTGTAAGCCAGCTTCTTTAAAAGTAAGCTATGTCTATCATGTGCTCTCTACCTCATGCTAAACTTAACTACATCTGGCAGGCAGCTGCTAGCAAGCAGAAGGTTTGAAAAGCTCAAACATGTTTCATGCAGGTTTTTTTTTTTTTTTTTCAAGTGCACCTCTCCCTCTCCAACCAATAGCTCTGCCATCATGTGGGGCGACGAGAGATAGGGGGTTGAATCAGGGTCACTGTATGTTCAGACATATTGATGAAGTGTCATCGCAAAAGCACAGCGGCAGGAGATACAACAGACTTAATGAACCAATAGAAATGACTTTTGTGGTCCAAACTTATTCAAAGAAATGAGAACCGAATCAACTTTGGGCCGCATGTCAGAGTGGAAATCAGTCGTACAAAAGGCTTCACTCAGTCAGAAACCTAAGGGAGGAATGGGGGAGGAGGGGAGGCGGGTAGGAGGGGAGTTTTGCATTGGTCTAAGAGAACAGTGCTGGAGTATGACATCTACTGGATTGAAAGTCACATCATTTACAACTTTAATGATGACCTAGGTCCATCCATCCAACCGGACATCCGTCCGTCTATCTATCTGTCCTACGTCGGTTCATGGTTGCAGCAGGCGAAGTTAGTCAACCCAGAATTCCATCTCCCCAGCCCGCTACACTTATTTACCTAGTAAAATGAAACCCCTGGAGTCCCCTGAAGCAACAGGTTATAATGATGTAACATTATCGAATGAAATAAGACAAGACCCTTTCTGTCTAAAACACTTTCCTCACTGACTTGGCCTCCATCCAGCCACTATAAAAGGCCTGACTGATAAAGTGCTGCAGGGATTTCCTCTGTGGCAGGCTGGTGAGACCACTGAGACCAAACAGAATCAGGGCGGTCTTAACATCTTTGATCTCACTGTGATAGAGATTCCTAGGATCCTTTGAGCTCTCTTAGTTTGAGGAACAGTACTGTACGATGTCAACACTTCAATCAATGCTTGACTTGTGCTATTTTCTAAGTGTCAGTTAAAACAAAATGCATCTTGACCTCATTTTGAGCCAAGAGGATGTTTGCGTAATTAAATTGAAAAAAAAATGCGTATTAAATTTTAAAAAAACGTTTTTAATGCATAAAAAAACATTAACATGATGATGTAAGACATTTTACCTTCATAATAGGGTATTGAGTGGGGAATAATAGCAACATAAAAAGTAAAAAGGGAAGAAGAAGATACGTTTTTAATCCTTAGAGAGGAGTGTTGCTAGGAAGGGTGCCTTGCTATTGACAGTTGTCAGGAAGTGAACTGTCACCTCTCCAGCTACCAGACCAATTTCCAGATTTTGTCCACACAGAGACTTGAACTGAGGCCCTCCAGTTCCCAATCAAAGTCCATGCAGACTGAGCTACTGCCGACCCCAGAATGAAAAAGCATTACATATTTCATTTAATTACATGGGATTCTGGTAACACTTTAAATTAAGGGCACAATATATGACCTTACTTTAAAGTGCTACCGGAATTCCTTGTAAGGTTATTTGACTTAGAAGTACATCCCTTAGTTGTTTAAAACATTGCAATTGGCCAGATCTAGAGGCCAAACATGGCTGATTTGTTTAGTTTGAAATGAACTGTCATTAATGCTTGAGAGAAATAAACAGATCCTGTAAGGATACAGTGCACTTTGATAATGATGAAACTGAAATATAAGAATAAAAAAAAGAAGAGAAACTACAGAGTGCCAGTATAGCGTAGTGGTTATTGTGCATGCACCATGCATGAGACTGTAGTCCTCCAAGCGGGTGGCCTGCCATTCCCCTCTCTCCCTGATTTATGACTCTATCCACTGTCTTGTCTATAAAATAAGTCACAGAAAGCCCAAAAATAAACCTTAAAAAAAAGAAGAGAAACTAAAACTGGCTAATGCACTCAGACAAGTAACAAATCTGAATGTTTTGTTTTCATTTCACATGTAGCATTGCAGCATACAGTAGTTGACAGATAGTTGATCAGCATTCAGGACAGGAAAACAGAAAATGCACACTTTGAGACTGACGATCAAACGTCAGGAACCATGGCTTGAAAATGTGACTGTCTCCTCAAAGCAATCAAACGTTACATGGCTACACAACGAGAGGTCGACTGAAACATGCCGACCAATATGGGTTTGACCCGTGGATTAAAGAAGTCTGGGCCATTATTAGTCCTGTTAATTATTCATCAACATTAATGATGGCACCATTAAATTAAGCAGTGCCAGGAAGTCAGCCCGCGCAAGACCAAAGTTGTGGTAAAAAATAGATTGTAGATATACATAATGCAGACAATGGTTTTTCTATCAACGGCTCGGGCTGTCTGTGACCGATAGTATCGGAGCAGCAGTTGCTCAGTCTGTTGGGACTTGGGTTGGGAACCCTTATGGACCAAGTCTGGAAATTGATCTGGTAGCTGGAGAGGTGCCAGGTCACATTCTGAGTACTGCCAGGCCCCTTGAGCAAGGCACCAAACCCCAAACTGCTTGGGTGCTCGTTCATGTGCAGCCGCTCACTCTGACATCTCTTCAATAGTGCATATCCTTAGGATGCTGTCTGAGCATGGGTGTGATTTCAGCCTATGTGTGTATAGCATGTCAGTGTAAGAGTAATTTATCCACATGGGATTAATAAAGGATGTCTCCTTCTTCCATCAAAAAACTACTGAAGCTTTGGAAAACTATTTTACTCAAAAAGCTGCCATGAGCAAGAAAGAGAGAGAGAGAGAGAGAGAGAGAGAGAGAGAGAGAGAGAAATTTCAAATCAGACAGAAGAGGAACCATCAACAGTAAAAACACACCACAGTCTTGAGGGGGTTTCATGATGATGAGATAACATGTAGGATACGTCTTTTTCTTGATCAGGACCTGAAGTGCTTAAACTTGGTAACAACTGTTTTTAAAATTACATTTACAAGGACCTCAAGTGGCCAAGAATAAATACACAAATACAGGGGGCTCGGCATAGATAAAAAAGGTGTTTCATGATTGAACATACAAAATATAAAATAGATAAACAGTAATGGCTAGACTGAACCTATCTGGTTGAAAACCTATTATCTCAGCAGAGTTCAACTGGAGGTCACACCATCATCTTATATTCACCTGAATAGTGTTGACCAGTATATCATAAATTATCCATGTTTTAACACAAAATTAATTTTAGATTGAGACATGAGGATGCAGAGAAAGAATATCCACTGAACGTGTGCCACACTCTGCTTCATAAGTGCAACCAGAGCTGACCTCATTTAATCTGACAAAAGTAAGATGTGGTCACCCATATGACATAGATTCAGAAATAAACAACGTGTCTAAATGTAGATGAGGTTTCTGCAGAGCAGTTCAATGTCCAACTGAGATTTCGCTTGACTTTGGTCTCCACATGCTTCAACATCATCTTGCTAAATGACTGACCACTGTTATCAGAAAGTGACTCGACTACTACGCTGTGAACAGTTTGTCCTAGCGAGCAGACCACTTTTCTGCAGCAGCAGAGTGTCTACGGTTGCATGAGGGTCTGTTCGTCACTGTGGGTTTCCTGTGAGCCTATCTGCTCATTCTTGGAAATGGTCGGTGGAGTGTATATCGTCAGGTGTCTAACCAGAGATAAAAACAGGAAATTGTCTTAAAATAGCTTATGTGAAACAATACACACTACTCACTACTATTATGAACTGTTGTGGGTCAGTTTTAACAACAAAAACATGAATCTATTTGTTTATGCCAACCAAGCAAGCAAGCAAGCAAGCAAGCAAGCAAGCAACCAACCAACCACTCATCCATCCATCCATTCAACCATCCACAATCATAGGGATGCAAAAATACCTTGGGATACAATTTAATACAACATACAATACAAATATGGACAATTTAAATCAATGAGATTACCTGCAGAAAAGGCCATCTGCTTTTTCTCTTTAGTACAATACAATACTACTATTCTATTGGGAAGAAACGCAGAAGTGAGTGCTGCACTGGGTCAAAAAACAAAATAAATATAGAAAAAATCAGATGCTCTTCAGGAACAGGGACAATAGTTAATAATACGAATAGTTAATAAAAAAATAAATAGGGACGAATAGTCAATAAAAAAGTTTGACTGTCCTGATTAGAAGAGAAAAAGTGAAGTGTGGAAAGGCAGCCTTAAACTGAAAGTCAGACGCACTCTGATAGCATATAAAAATCCTTTACAGGGATTGTCAATGCGTTTCGACTCTACTGAGTCTTCGTCAGGACATAATTGATAAAGATGAGACTGGTGCTTAAATAGGGTGTCATGTGATGTCATGGTCACACGATACATTACAAACATCTGATTAAGATGTAAACAAAAACAGCGACTCATATATTACGACACAAAAATATTTCAGAACTTGTTTAAGCACGGTAGGATGTCATGAAAGAATAACTTCAGTGCAAAGCACACACATACAATGTTACAAAATTACAAAATTGTCAGAGACGATGCATATATAAAAATATAAAAGCAAAGTGGAAGAATAAAAGTTCAACCTATGGGTGTAAAAAAAGTGGAGGAGGACATTTTTATGCCAAAATTGAGTACATTGAGAAGAGGAGGAGGGTCTTGTCGCCCAACAGAAGCTACTGGCATCCTGCACAAAGCTACTGGGACCCTTAATTGTTAGCCTTAAAAGCTCATCACATCCTTGAGGTATTGATTGCAGAATATGTGCTGAAGTCAGAACTCTGTGTTTTCATCCTCTTTGTTCTTCGTGGTGCGTTACGGATTTCCAGAGCAGCATAGCATACATCTTCATCCTGAGAGTTAAAATACGCTATTTAGGACAATGAACGTGTTCAACAGCACGATTTGTTATAATTCCACTGCTACAAATCTTTTGTGTAATTACTGTCACACTTCAACTTTACAGTATATTTCAACAGTGATGGAAGGTCATCATGTTCATTACCTGCAGGTTTCCTCCCGTTTGGCGTCTGGTGTCTGGGAGTTTCTCATTAACTCGATGTTTAGCTGCAGAAATCGGTACATCATTTAAGTCACACAACACAACACATATCTCATAACACACCTAAGAAAAAAAGGTACGTTGAATCAGTATTATCTTAAGAAATGTGAAGTTATAATTTAGAAATTAAATACAGTTCAAAATCAAAGCAAAAGACTAAAAGGAAATAACTTGTGGATAAAATAAGACAAATAAATAAGTTACCTTTTTTCAGACACAGGCAATACGCTAGCAGAAATGAGAGGAAGGAGGAGAGAACTGCAGAGGCTGCAAACACAGAGATCAGCAGTTTCCAGCACACACAACAGCTGTCACAGGGTTTGAGATGGTCCGAGAATTGGACAGTGGAGTCTGGATCAAACACAACGTTTTTAAGTTAGCGCTCTGATTAAAATCACCCCTGATATTTGTATATTCACATAAATTAGCTTTTCCACAACCCCCTGCATTCTCGATACCATCAGGCATAAATGCAAAGTTTGGTTTAAAATTAATCAGGGCACCAATACATTTCAATTATTATCTTTTCATCCAATTGATCAATTAAAATTCTCTCACTTACATTATCGTTTGATTTAAGCATTCTCTCATGGTATATCCAGCTGAGTAGTTGTACAGCCTCTAATGCAGAACTGGGTATTTGCAAGTATGCACACGATGCATGGTTTAGAGATCATAAACAACAAGCCCCACCCAAAATTATCTACAACTAACAACAGTGATGTGCTAGCAGAAAGTTTATTGTTTGACAAAGCTAGCCAAATATCTGCAATCAGTTTATTTCCACCACTAATCGTTAATCTGTTAATCCTGATGCCATTAAGGTCCAAAATGAATGCATTAATTATTTTGAATTGCTTGTCATTTTGTCCCTTTCGACACACCGTAGTTAATCCACTGTAGCGTCTTCCTGCCTACGCACTGTTGGAGATACAAGACACCGAAGCGCCGTTGAATGGCTCAATTCACTTCAAACAACAACCTCCCAGACAGCTCGGTTGAGTTTGATTTCACTCTTTTGTGTGTGTGTGTGTTCGCTTTAGCTATTTCAATTAACTTTTAAATCTGTAGCAAGTTCCTTTTGTCGTGATTAAATTCATGTTGTAACTTTCTATCTACTGGAAGTTCGTTTTTTTGTTTTCAAAAATAAAAAAGCAGGTTTTTATCCAAACAGGAAGTAAAGAAAACGTAGCTCAAGAGAAAATAAAAGCACAACAAAAACTGATTTAAGTGTAAAATATTGGAAATTCAAACATGCGCTTAAAACGTGATTGAATGCGATCAAATGTTGAAATTCAGCAAATAATCGCTTTTAAAAATATTAATCATTGGGGCGCTGGTGGCGCAGTGGTTAGTGCGCACGCCCCATCCGTCTCAAGCGGGCGGCCCAGGTTCACATCCCACCTGTGGCATCTTTCCTGCATGTCATTCCCCACTCTCTCTCCCTGATTTCCGACTCTATCCACTGTACTATCTATCCATTAAAAAAAGGCCCAAAAAGCCCAAAAAGAAATCTTTAAAAAATATATATATATATAAATATATATATTAATCATTTGATTTATAATGTTTGTTTTGGATGTTTTCTTTGTGTTGGGCAAGAGTAAAGTCTATGTTCCGGAATCAGTATCAGGAGGGACAAGTTGTATCAGAATATCTGTAATATTCACTCACATTAGAAGCAATTACTTAAATGTAGGAAATTAGTTCAGAAAGCAGGAAGTGCAACAGAAATCCTGCCCTGCAAAATTGAAGTTACAATAAATATTGGGGTTTTGGGTTTGTTTGTTCACTTGTGATGAGGTGCTTAAACAGCTTTAATGCATCACTATTTCTCTCCTGATACGCTGTACTGCTCTGGCGCCAACCTTCATTTCAACAAATATGACAGAAGATATATCTTGTTTCCGCCCTGTGGCATTCAATGACTCGTCTATTTTGTCCTTTCAAGTCTGCATTCATGTAAGACCAAGATTTGTTATTGTGAGGGTCTGTTAGAAAAACTGTTAACTGGCAATAAAAAAAAAGTGATAACTTACTTAATATGATCCTTGTGACATTTCCATAGGTGTAAACTGGTCTATGAGTGATTCTATCTGTATCTTCTACCTTCGTCTCTTCAGTTCCACAGTAGTAGAGGCCCTCTTCGGACCCAGTGATGTTCATGATCAGCAGGTCGTAGGATTCAGAGGACTGGTTTCTCACCATGTGATAATGGGGGAAAGGATTCCCAGGACTCTCAGATAATTGATTGTTTCCAGAGTTTAAGACTGACCTAAATCTTGTTCTCAGAAAAAGTGAAGGCTGGTTCTCATGAGAACAGTTCCTTTTCCAAACAATGTAAACTCCAGTTGATGTTTTGCAGTCACAGTAGAGAGTGATGTTGTCTCCTGGTCTGACCGTCACCTTCAACTCTGATCCACAAACACAGTCAGGACTCAAGGAAACCACTGCTGGAATTCAAACAAGATCATAACAGCAGTTTAAAATGTGCACAGCTATACAGGAAGACAAAATGACAAGGGCACTAGAACGTAAGTATTATTCTTCTTTTAATGTAAAAACATCCTTGTATTAAATCATCCAAACTATTAATCAAAAGAATTACCTGAGACCAGGAGCAGAACAACGTGACGGCCCTCCATGAGTGACGAGGTCTGAGATGTGAAGACAGAGACACAGGTCTCACTGACATCACACCCATGTAGATGTTTCCATTAAAGGAAGCAGACGCTGTGATTGGCCAGTGAGGTGGAACATTTTTTTTTTTTTTCTGTAGATGTCACCCAATGTGACATTTTGTGTTGCTTGGGTTGGAATGATGTTCAGGTTAATCAGGCTTTGTTGTCCTTTTCCTAATCTGTAAACGTTAGTCAGCATGTTTTTTTAAAGTATGTTTTATTGGAATAACACATATGATAATGAAACATCACATCTTCTTCTGCTACACATTTTACTTCGGAGATTTTGCAACAAAAATATGCCTGCCAAAACTCTTCAGAATTGTTTATCAGTCAGCTGCAGCACATTGACCGAAGCTCATGCTCACGTTAACTAGCAGTAATGAATGGAAGCTGGGCTCCACCCAGCACGGATTACAAGACTCCATGGACGGTCAGAAGCCCTTCAGCATAACTTATAGGTAACTTATAAGGAGACAAGTGTTGTTTAAGATGATGTTACATTAGCAGATGTGCTTTCTTGATGACAGTGCGACCATGTCTGGTTTTGAATGTTGGTTTAGGCAGGAACCTGTTCTCCCCTCTTTCCAGTACTGTGTACTGCCACTACATGTTTTAAATTTAGACATGAGAATGCAGACGAAACCCCACTGAACATGTGCTACACTCTGCTTCATAAGTGCAACCAGAGCTGACCTTATTTGATCTCCTCCAACACTGATCCACAAATCCCATCACGGTTGCAGGAAAAAACTCCTGGAATACAAATGCAGAAAAACAAGTCAAAAATAGGGAATGATTTCATAGCACAGCAGATAAAACGTAATCTAACAAAAAAATTACCCAAGATGACAGCAAGCAAAAAGCGCAGGTGTTGACGACAACCAGGAGGTGAGAGGCAATGAAACAGTAAATTTATGACCTGTGCACACATTTCCCTTCAAAGAAATGTGACCTGTGATTGGCTCATTGAATGGAACATTTTCCTCTGCGGTTGTTTTGTGACGGTTGTATGATGCAACAACAACGAATTAAATCAACGGAAACCAACCAACAAAACCTGAATGAGGGCAGCAGGCATTATCGTCTATTATGAAACGAAATTATGTTATTGTCATATCATTGACACTCTTTTGTCATCAATTTCCTATTAGAGGATGAAAAACATATTCTCTACTATAAGCTAGTGGTTTTTTGTGTGCGCAAAAATACCCTGAAAAACAAAAAGTACATTTATTAATGTCAAAATAGCATGAGCAGAAAATTCTGGTTTTACTGCCTATTTTAGAGGATTTGGCCCTCATTTTTTGAGGTCTGCTCAGCAACAACCATAGACTGTATAAAACATGGACGTAAAGGCAGGGTTGGTCATTTTATCCAGATACACTTTTTAAGATTTTGGTTGAAATTGTCTTTCGGTCCTGACAAAGGAACAAAGAAAATCTGTCACCTGTAGCAGTTGTAAGCCTGTAAAAAAAGGTACCAATCTGATGAACCAATCACATCTCACTGTCTCCCTGCTCGTTCTATACTACTTGTGTGCACTAGCCCACACTCAAAGCGTGTCACCGATGACGGAGTTTATACTGTGAGTTTGTTGTTGGCCGTTGTTGTGAGTAGTAAAATAGTCAGGTTTTTTTAAAATATGTATTCTGATAAAGTTTAGTGTTTACTTACCTCTAAATGTAGTTTCTACACAATGCAAGCGATGAGCTGAGGTCCGCTTCTGGAGCAACAGCGCTTGTGCATGTAAGTGAGGGGCGTGGCTTTTGAGGGAGCACAGAGGAGGGGGGGTGGGTGTAGATGCTACTTTCAAAATCAGACTAGTTTTCGAAAATGACCAACCCTGCCTTTAAGCTCTGTTCAGACTGCTACATTTACGCCCTTGTGACGTTGCTTTCAATCTGAATGTTGCGGAGGTGCAATGGGGGGGGCGAAGTGATCCACTCTCTGTACCATCTTTGGAGGGAGTAACAGAGGCGTTACATAGCTGAGACGGGATCAGCGGAGCCAGCGGGGAGGCACGGCGCTGTGTGTGTGTGTGTGTGTGTGTGCATGTCTGACTGTGTGTGTATGTGAAGCTCCTGTTGTGCTGTGCTTCTGCAACGCCAAAAAGAAAAGTGAATTCACAGACTGGCGCTCCAATATCACGCTGTCACAAAATCAATATGAATGCACAAAGACGTGATGAAGGTTGAGCTTAGTTACGGCTCTTTAATGAAAAAGCTTTAGTACTTTATACTTACTGATCGTTCTCAGAGACAGTGTCAGACTCGCACTCTTTTTTTGCACCCTTGGCTGGTTATGCTTTGTGCGCATGTGCTTGGGTCTTTCTTCAGTCACTATCTGTCTTGCCACCATGAAGTGTGAACCTTGACAACGAAGCTGTGAACTAACCTGCAGCTTCAGTGTGCCTGTGTGATGAGCTGTGTCATTGTATGAGGGGCTTTTTTGTCAGTGTGGGTTTCCTGTGAGCCGGACTGATGCCAGGGTGCTACATCATGTGTTGCAAGTTGACTTTGTTGTTCACTCTTTGTTTTCATGGGATGTCTTCAAACAGATAAAAACAGGAAATTGCCAGAGAACAGTCTAGATTCAGACCAGCAGCCACTACAAGCTTTATGAAATTGATCTCAATTAAGAATATAAAGATTCTGAAGATGAAGTGTAATCAACCACGACAAACAATTATGAGATTGTTCTTCATTTCTGATTTTTACGGCTCCTTTTATTTTCAAAAGTAATCTCAGTGGCGCAAGGAAATAAGACCACATGACGCATATTTTCCGTGATGAATGTTGTGGTTAATACAGCCAGCAATGTTTGAAAATGCAATGACAGAATGGTCTATATATATCAACATTATAAAATTCATTTTTTTTATTCCTCTGGTCTTAGGCCTGTTACATCTTAGATGTATTAAGAGCAGAATAGGTGCAGAAGTCAGAAGTCTGCGGTTCCTTCTTCTTCTTTGGTCTCTTTGATTTCTGACGGATTTCCACAGCAGCATAGCACACATCGTCATCCTAAGATTGAATATTTGTCATTTAGAAGCCCAAACTTGAACATATTTAATGCTTTGATACATTACACTTTAGTGATAGATACCTGGCTCTGTCTTGGATGACCTCTAGTGTCAGGTCTTTGCTGATCAACAGGATGTTCTTCAGCTGCAGGAATAAATATAACATCAGTACAGCACAATGAAACTCACACAGTGGAAGAGACATTAAGGTGTCTTTGTGATTAAAAACAAATATGTGGATACATATTCTAGAAAAAGTGAGGTAGTTACCCTTCTTACAGCAGTGATAGACCACAAGTGAGGAGAGGAGAGAGGAGACAATAGATACAACTGGACACAGACAGATGATCAGAATCCAGCACTCATTACAGTCCTGAGGCATCTTGGGGCAAGAGGTCGCATTCGGTTCTGCATCTAAATGAGTTGTGTAAAAAGTTGTGTTGATTACATTCATTTAACTCAGATCTACAAACACAATTCCTAAAAAGTTGGGACATATGTAGAAACTTAAAAAAACATTGAAACCCCATATTTGAATGAAAATAGCACAAAGACAACGTATCAATTGTTGAAAGTGGGGTATTTCTTTTTTTTTGGAAAAGTATATGCCCAACTTGATGCTAACGACATGTTTCAAAAAAGTTGAGAAGGTGGAAAGAAATGGCTGGAAAATGATTAACAAAAAAACACCCAAGGTTAACTGTCAACAAGTTTCCAGCTCGTCTCCTCCTGCCTGAAACAAAGCCAGCAAGAGGCTCTTTCTGCTGCCTCCCCCAACACACATACACACGCTAACACATATAGATCTGTACACTCGTAGTCGTTCAAACACCTCAGAGACACAGATCGTGCTGAGACCAACCTTAACTCAGTCCTGCCTGTGTAGACAATAGACCACGCCAGAAGACTACTCTGTTAAGTGTCCGCCATCTTACAGGATGCCGCCATCTTTCCTCTCTCTCTCTCTCTCTCTCTCTCTCTCTCTTTCTCTTGTCCACACACACACACACACACACACACAAACACACGCACACACACACACACACACACACTTTTTTGACTATACTAAGTAAATGAGGACCTTCTCTGAAACTCATACACATCATTCATAGGGATCAAAGGAGCACATCCTAGCATTCTCCTTGTGTGGACCAGGCAAAATATCCACATAAGCAGAAATGTCCTCACAACAAAGGTGTTTTGCCATGGGTTGGTCCACAGAAGCATAGAAATACAAGTGCACACACACACACACACACACACACACACACACACACACAGGCTTTCATCTCATTAATATCTGTTTACTGCAAGTCCCCTGTTGGTGAGTGTGTAACGACGAGGTAGTCCCCTGTTCGATATGTGCGCATGAACACACACACACACACACACAAACACACAAGTGTGTTGTTGATTGAGTTGTATTGATTTTGGATTGATGTGGCTTTAATTAAATAAACTCTGTTACAATTTAAGAAAGCAGTTGTTTGTGATTACTTGTGTATATGCATTGTAATACAGCAGGGTGCAAGGGCTTTGTGTACAGATTTCAAGCCTTCAATTTATGAAATACAGGTTGTTAATTATTAATAATATTAGTAGTTAATTAATTAATTCATGACTGAATTTGTGATAATTTTGTTATTTTACCCTGATTTTAGGGTGGTGCCCCATTCTGATCAACTCAGTTTAATAATATTGTTAATTTATATCAATTATTCATTAAGAATAAATATTAATATTAATTTGATAATCAAATTTTGACTATCTAAACATAATTGTTGTTCACATATTAGCTCTGCAAAAGCCCAACAATACTGTGTGTGTGATTGACCTAATTATAAACACACTAGTGTACAAATTGAACTACTGTTGATGCACGTAGCAGCCATGCTGGATTTTAACTCGGGTTTATGAAACGTCTCTGGGTTTCTAAGTAGAAATTCTGACTACAGGGGGGCGCTCCTGATGAAGTATCAAATGAGCAACTGGGAGTTCCTGACTTCCAAGATCAAATAGAACGCACCATTACTGCACATGGCACGAGTAACATGAACATTTTATGAAGGCACCATTAATGCTGAACCATGTATACGGGATTAAGAGCTACATGTGCTGCCAAATAGAGAACTTCTTTTCTTACGTGTTTCAGCAACAAAATCCCAAACCATATTCTGGACGTTTTACGACAGTATGTCCCTGTAAGAAAGAGTCCAGGTGATAAACTGGCACTTCCTGCAGTCCCGACTTGTCACCCATTGAAAGTGTTTTTGAGCATTATGAAAGGTGAAAAAGGAGTCCTTAAACTGTTGAGGATTTTAAATCCTACATTAAGCAAAAATGGTAAAACGTTACCCTCTTAAAGTTATAGAAACTGGTCTCCTCAGTTCCCAAAACGCTTTAAAGTGTTGTTTAAAGAAAAGTGTGATGCAACAGAGGGGTACACATGACCCTGTCCTGACTTTTGAAAAGTGTTGCTGGCATTAAATTCAAAACGGCGTATCATTTTCTGTAAACATCTCTTATGTTGTTTGTGCTTATTTCAAACAAATTCAGGGTTTCAATATTTTTAAATTCATCATATTCAGTTTTGTTTACTTTTCACACAACATGACAACTTTTTGAATGAAGTCAGTGTTCTACATTTTTGTTTGAATTCATTTTTGCATAAAGGCCAAGTTTTTTTCTGAATTTATATGTGTATATATACTCGGTCTAATTTTTTGTAATGTTCCCTTTCAACACTTTCTTTGCAAATTAATAATTAATTTTCAAAAAGTGCAAGTGTGTTGCCTGATGATCTTTGCGGATGATTTTTTGGTCTGACATCATTATTTCAGTACTCTGAGAGAGTTTCCTTGTGATCTTTAGAGACATTCAACAGACAACAATACAAAAGTAGAGATTGGTTGGGCGATCAAGACCGTCCTAAACATTCAGAATATACGAGGTCCCAGATGTTTTAGAATGATTTTGATTATCGTTGGTTGGTTAATGCGTATTTTCAAACAGTAAAAATAAAAACATTTTTAGATGGTTCCTTTTTTTGGTCTTTTGTATAAAGTTCTTGTACATGATTTATTTTTTATTCAAATGGTTGACTCCACCAAAATCACAGTCACACAAAGACAGAGCGTACTTACTGAAAATGATTCTTGTTGTGACGTTGCTGTAGCTGTAAACAGATTTAAAAGTTATTTGTTCCTTATCCTCCACTTTTGGTTCTTCAGTTCCACAGTAGTAAAGACCTTCATCTGACTCAGTGATGTTCAGG